AATAAATAAATTTGTTTATATATAAAAAATAAGTGTAACTTATGGTCTTCCTTTTGGGTGTTAATTCTTGGTGAGCTGACAGTTTGTTATCATTGCACTGCACAGTTGTCAGTCCTTCACAGTCTGGTGCTGAGTTGTCTCTCCTTGAAGTCTGATGCTGACTTGTCTGTCCTTGATTGTCTGATATTGAGTTGTCTGTCCTCGGTTGTCTGATACTGAGTTGTCTGTCCTTGACTGTCTGATATTGAGTTGTCTGTCCTCGATTGTCTGATACTGAGTTGTCTGTCCTTGACTGTCTGATGTTGAGTTGCCTGTTTTTTTTGTCCCATGTACTGCCAAATGTTTCTGAGGTAGATATGTTTAGTTACAAAAATATAAATAAAATTTTTTTTCTTTCTTCTTCTTCTTCTTCACATTCACCAAATGTAAACTATGCAGAAGGTTCTGGTCGCTCGTCCACGCTGTGGATTTGTCTAGTTCCAGAAACTGTGTCGGCGAGCATTATCTGTTTCACAGATCTGGCTTATCAGTAAACAGTTTTTGCTTCAAAGGAAGCTCCCAATTAGTCGACTCCTACCACATGCTTGTTGGGGAGGCAGTGGGTCTATTCATATTCTCCCCCACACAGGGGCCCCGGAACGAAAAGGGTAAATTATATTTCAACACTGCTTGTCCTTTTTCTTCTTCTTCATGTCAGGCAACAGCCAGACTGCCCCACTTCGACAGATCACATGCAAAAAAATTATCACACACCTGCAGGCTGACTAGAACAGTCCATACAAACCCAAAAAATCACACTTGTTTGTCACTCTTCAAAAATAATCATTTTAATACATACACTCTGAATACCAGGGTATCTTTTGTTTGATTCAACAACATATAAAACAAACTGACTATCTTTTGTTTGATTCAACAAAGCATAAAACAAAATGGCATTCTAAAAACCGTTAATGTTATTATACCAATGGTCAAATCCCTTCAGAACTCACAGAAATTATGGGAAATATAACTGAAGCCAAATTGAGAAAATGGAATATGGGTGTTGTCAGCTTTACAGGAACACAATCACAAATGACAAAAGTGGTGTTGAGGCCAGAAAGCATTCATCAGTACCTAAAAACACAAAGACTTGCAACTGTATTTAAAAAAACTATAAAAAGTAGTTATCTGCTTTTAGCTGATTTACAGAAATTATGGCACGGTCTGATGTCTGTGCCTCAGCATCTGGAGATCTCCAAGATCCATTCTTTAAAAGCTGTCTTTTTGTAGCTCCTAAATTTTAACGCATCAGTGGCTTGTTGTTTTCTCAAGCTGATGAGGGTTTTCTAGCCACAACATCCAAGCTGTCAGTAGTGACTGTGTTCCTGTTCACATGATCCACTGGACAGTTTCCACTACTATCTTTGACACCACTTCTCCAAGGATAAACCCCCATACACATGAAACCATCTGACGGGCTGGTTTGCTTAGAACATGTACACCTTTCACATTTCTTCTAAATAAATAAGTGAATGGCATGGGCGTCACTGACCTGTAATACAGTCACTGTCCATGATTACCACTGTTTAGAGGATTTAGGGCCATATGGCTTGTGCTGTCACCACAAACTGTGCAGGTTAGAATGTTAAGCCTGGCCTCCCAGCAGAAAAACACTACAACTTTACCGAAGTCAAATCTGGGTTGGCCACATCAAAGCCCGACACAGAAACTGCTCAACCAGTGGTTCCTCAATCTACAGTTCAGGGCCTGGTAAAGAAAGTTCTAACAGACAGCAACAACAATAAAACCAACAGTAAGGGTTAGTATGTGGGCGATGGCTCCAGTACCATTCCACCCTGATGCACAAGGTGGGCTGTTGTGTGAAGTAATTACATTAGGGGCAGTTCTGCAGCAGCACTAATGCTTTCCTGCCTACTATTAGGTAGGTCCAGGTTCGGTTCCACCATCTTTAAGGTGCATTAACAGCCTTACCCAGGTGAATGGTGGTGTGTGTGTGTGTGTTCGTGCATGAGTTTCGAGTCAGTCTCTCTTCTCAGCACTCCGGAAACATCCACAAGTGCACAGATTCCCCTTTCAAAGTACAGAGCAGCGGTTAACAGTGCCAGTCCTATGGTGGCTGATAAGCCTTCTTGTACGTCCGGTGTGCCTCTCATGCCTGGCTGTGTCGATGTTTATTTCCAATTCCTGCGTTCTTAGCAGTGATCCCGATGTGCTGCTTCCAAAACCCTCTGATTGTCCCATCTTTCTAAAGAACAATGTTGATGATCGCATATGTTGATACATAAGCTGACCATCTGCATTTTCAGCTATTCAGCACCTCTACGTCCTATTCTGGGGTCAAAGGTAATAGTGGAAAGTGTCCAGTGCATGACGTGGAATGATGGCCATCTGCAACTTTGGCAAAACCGACCAACCTATCAGCTCTTTCTTGCCAACAACACACACATCTAATTCATGTGTGGCTTTGCAGAAACGATGCAAAACCCACAAAGTGTCTGTAGGCAGTGGGTGTAGTACTGAAGCTGGCACACTTCCTGTCTGTTTGCTGGTTGTGTTCAAATCTCCATCAAGAACAGTCTACAGTTACCTGAACTCCCATGGTCAACCCACATTAAAATTTGTGCCAGAAAGAAAATGTTTCGGAAGGTGAAGGCAGCCAGTATGATACTGACTGCACCACCTATCCAGTACCCGTTGTTCTTCAGTTCCAGGGTCCTTGAGGTTGGTTGCTGCAGATATCACCCGCCTCTGTTCATCTCCCTGTTGTTGGCACCCCTCCGTCTCTCCAGACAATAGAGTTATACTGTGCCATGGGAAGGTGTGCCAATCACAGCCTATGGCCATGGAGAGTGTGACCAGCATGCTTTTTAATACAGTTACCGACTCCATTGCTTTCCACCATCTTCTTGGTCTGCCTCGTGTTCTACTCCCATTCAACTTTTTTGTGTATGCAGTTTTTGTTTGTCTCAGTGTCATCTGCCATTCTCTCTATATGCCCCAACCATCAGCCCTCATGCTGCCAATAATTTATGGTAATTTAAACAGATCCACCAACCGCCACTTGGTCTACAAAATATAGGTCCACTATCTTCTTCTTCTATTCTCCACTTCTGGAATTCCTTGCAGCGCGATGGCGTGAAGAGATCATTGGGACAGGTCTTTCTGTTCACTTCGTATATAGAACCTTTCAATGTCTACGATCCAGCCTTCTATTCACTTCGTATATAGAACCTTTCAATGTCTATAATCCAGCCTTCTGTTCACTTCATATATAGTAGCTTTTATTGTCTATAATCCAGCCTTCTGTTCACTTCCTATATAGTAGCTTTTAATGTCTATAATCAGCCTTCTGTTCACTTCGTATATAGAACCTTTCAATGTCTATAATCCAGCCTTCTGTTCACTTCGTATATAGAACCTTTCAATGTCTATAATCCAGCCTTCTGTTCACTTCGTATATAGAACCTTTTAATGTCTATAATCAGCCTTCTGTTCACTTCGTATATAGAACCTTTCAATGTCTATAATCCAGCCTTCTGTTCACTTCGTATATAGTAGCTTTTAATGTCTATGATTCAGCCTTCTGTTCACTTCGTATATAGTAGCTTTTAATGTCTATGATTCAGCCTTCTGTTCACTTCGTATATAGTAGCTTTTAATGTCTATGATTCAGCCTTCTGTTCACTTCGTATATAGTAGCTTTCAATGTCTACGATCCAGCCTTCTGTTCACTTTGTATATAGTAGCTTTCAATGTCTACGATCCAGCCTTCTGTTCACTTCGTATATAGTAGCTTTCAATGTCTACGATCCAGCCTTCTGTTCACTTCATATATAGTACCTTTCAATGTCTACGATCCAGTATCACAGACCCGAAATATCTCTGAGCATGAGAAACACACAACATGCCTGTATACCACAGTGCAGAAGTAGGGAAATGGCTCAAAAACAAAATCAGCCGAGGTTAGGCGGACCTGACACAAAACAGGAAGGGAACCTCCAGTGCCATACATCCGAGTAACTAGTTCAATGAAGTGCTTCTAGTTTGAAAATTTTGCGCAATAAAGATAAGTCATTGTATGAACAAGTAACAAGAAAGTGCTTCTGCTAACACAACAAACCTGCAAGTGTCCAAGCATGAGTCTGAGAATATTATGAAAAGAACAAACAGTTTGGTAATTAAAAAAAAAAAAAAAAACGCTTAAAACAATTTTATTAACGAGAAAAAAAAAATAGTATTGAAGCAAGCGTACAGGAAAAAAAAAGTTAGTCGAGCAGAAATCACTTTCTGTATAGTTAGCACTCATACTATTTGAAACCAACGCAAAGCGGTCACATAAGAAGAACCAAACCAAAATGATTTTTAAAAAAACAGAGAAGGATATTAAGTTAAAAGCGTTATAAAGATTATGTGAAACAATACATCCCATCAAAGCACAGGAATTAAATTATATATGTGTTTATATTTGTATTTTGCACTTAATAGAGAAAGCTCAACTGCAAAACGTCCACTCTATCCTAGAATAAAGAAAACGTGGATATAAGGTGAAGATCCACACAGATACATTACAACACAACATTCAAGTGGGAGGGAAACAATATAATGAAGTCAAAAGCAGAATACAGTGTGGCGATGCAGGATATGTCGATAATCAATGAAGGGGAAGCCTACAGCAGGCATGGTGATAAAATAGAAACAACAGATTACAGATAAAATTACAACAGTGAACAAATCCATATAATTCCCTTGAGAAGAGTTTCAAGAATAAAGAGCATCTAGTAGTCCCTTAGTAAAATTATTTACTTGACAAAATACTTTAAAATCTTTGAAGGGAAGGAGAAAAGAAAAAAAAAGAACATGGCATGTAGCCAATGACCAGGCAAAAAGGTTAACACCGAATGTTGACAAATTTGCAAGTAACATGCACCAGTGGGTTCGAACAGAAATGCTCAGTGACTGGACTGCTGCCCCTGCAGATGATAACCACCTGCCTGTGATGCTCATTTCTTAACCTTCCCTTTGCCACGGCCTTTCTTCGCACTGGCTGAACCTTTTGGTTTTGCCGCTGATTTTCCTGGTGTTGCAGTTGGAGTAGAGTCACCGTCGCTTGCATTACCAGCATCCTCTTCTTCTCCGGATACATTCATGCTGGCATCGTCGGCACCGCTCTGACAGGTGGCGTACGATAAATCTTGTTCGTCAGATCGTAGATCTAAATGTACACAGAAAAATATGCTCAGACTGAAGACCTAAATGTACACACATAAACTGTATGTCTATATATATTCATATTTTAATATGCATGCGCCCCCCAACATAAACCTACTATGTTGAGACTAAAGGTCTAAATCTAAACAAAATATGGGTCTAAATCTTAACAAAATATGTTGAGAATGAAGGTCTAAATGTAAACAAAATATCTGGCTGTTTTTCATGGACATCTAATCTCTGTTATGATAGTTGTAGTAAGCATCCATGTCTGACACTGGTAACTTCAAGCTGACCAAATCAATTTTAAAAAACATTTCTTATAAGATCTGCTGTGGTACACTCTTTCTTTATAGTTCCTCTGAGTGACTTAATTGCAAGTCTCTTGACAATAGCTTTATTCTCACTTTGGGCATGTTAACACCTAGAGCACTGAACTGCCAACAGTTTCATTAAAAATCCTTGGGCATTGAACTGCCCACACAGTCTTAACTAAAATCCTCCAGTTATGGCCCCTGGAATTAACCTGGGGTATTTATTCTCCTGTCCCACGTGTCTGGTCAGTCTACTCACAAGGCAACGACCTGGCTGCTCCGAGATACTAAGCTGAATGATTTTGTGTATTTTGTGTGGTATCATTTGATTCATGTCTGTGCTTGCTGATACACTTTTCGTTCGGTTTTATATATTTTCTTTTTGCATTGCACCTGTTTACAGCATAGACGTGATATTTGGGCCCTTCGGCGACATATCCGCCGACTTCACCGGGCATTTGTTCATGAGTTAGCCGTTAGCCTTTCTGGGCTCTGGCAGACCCAGGTACTACAGCTTCATGAAATGGGTTCCAGGTTCACAACTGCCCTGAGAAGAAAATGGCAAGAGGAAACGAACTGGCCGCCCCATCTCACACAGTAAATGTCAGTCCTAGGAACCATGGATCCGTGGTGCTAGCAATGGGAACAGCATCTGTTATGGCTGTAAATTCCAATGTGGGAGTGGCAGTCTCTGCTACACAACAGTCCACATAAAACTGATGATACTCTATTATGTCGAGATTGGTTTTTTGTCTCAGACATATTCTCTCTACAGTTTGCTACAGTAGGCTTCTTACAAAGTGAGACAGTCTGTCATTCACTGTCTGCCTTGACTGGAGTCGGTCTGCAGTTAATCTCTCCCAAGTGTCTGGGTCAGTTTTGGTATTTTTCAGGTTACGACTGTATAAGTCCTTATAGTGTACAGAGTTGCATATGTCCTTATAGTGTTCAAATCTGCACATGTCCTAGCACACAGATGTGCATATGTCCTTACAGAGTACAGATATGCATATGTCCTTACACCATACAGACATACACAACAACTAAGTCGACTCACCAGAAGTATCTCCCAGAAGGTCTCGGTCTCGTTGCTCCTGCGCCACGTCCCCAGACAAGTAAAGAAAGCTGGAGCTGGCACTTGTTTCATTCAAGAAAGACTCTGATGTGGTATCCTTTCCCAACCCGTCATCAAACAAACCACCTTCGTTGTCTTCGTCTTCCAAAGGCAGGTCATCGTCGTAGTCCTCATTGTCCTCATGATTACCACCATTCTTTTGAGCCTTTTCTTCATCCATATCATGGTCCTTCTCTTCTTTGGCTTTCTTTTCTGCAGCAGCTGCAGTTTCCTCCGCTAGTCTCTTCTCTCTGGCCTCTTGCTTGGCTTCAACTGCCAGCTGAAATGACAACAAGGAAGATGTGTGCACAACTTTTAACTTACACAGTACACTGATAGCTAACAAGTGACCTGGCTAACACATGTTGGGAAGAAAAAGGGGGGGGGGGGCTAGCAAAGATATTTTTTGCTGTTTTTCAGCCTTGGCTAATAAAACTGGACCCAGCCAGTGAATGTTTAGTGGAAATGAATGAATGAAGAAAGTGACTCACTGTACTTGAGACATTCCCACATGTGCTCCATCTTCTTTTTTTATTAGCCAATGAAAGGTTGACATGCTAACAGTACCAGCAGCAACCTGAATAAAAGTCCACCTATGTTTCTCCTTCAATTGTTGAATACCCTCTAGACATCCCCCCCCCCCCCCCCCACCAACCACCAGTCTTTCAATGCATGGATTCCCTATCTGCTCTACTGCACTCTCCACCCAAATGTGTAAATGGATACGCATGCATACCAGTGTCAGTAAAGTGCATGCTCCATATGGCTATGAATCTGAACAGAACTTGGCAATAGAACTTCCTGACATAACAGATAAGACAGTCTCTAGGGCAAAGCGTTACATTTGGAGGTAAATGCAGAATATGTGAACAATTTCTACTAACAAAGATTTCAGCTGACAAGTGATTTTTGAGCGAATTAGCTGCATTCGCCAAGGTATCACTGTACAGGGCAAAAACGTTGAATAAAAGTTAGCATAATGGGTTATGGTTTACAGCTCGGCTGCGATATCTATATAATTCAGCCCAACACTCTAGATTTCAGCATACCCATAATTAATCACCTAAATGACCTGCCTATTTGAAGTGGCCCGTGGGTCACTTTTTTCTCCTTAGAAATCCTGCAAAGAACATCTGGGGATTAACCGGAAGCCATGAGGGATGGGCACAACAAATTTTTAGTTTAACCACAAGCACTTGAGCATAGCTCGCCTGACTCAGCGTTGTGAGCGTCGAAGCCCTTCAGCCTCGGTGAACACCGTTAATCTGGGGAGTATGCAGCTTTTCTACCATCCCCCGGCTCGAACCCGAGACCAGACACGCATGAGGATTTTCACCTGACGTCCAACGCGCTATTAACTACACTGGAGTGCCAGGTGGCAAAAAAAATAAAAGAGGGTAGAAGTGCATGGTTCAATTTTGTGCAAAAATACCAAATATAATAAATGTTTGTTGAATATTTCTGAAAATCTGATATTTTTTATTAGTCTATACTGTTGTCAGACAAAAGATTTTTCAGTTGCATTTTTGCACCAATCTACAGCCACATGATGATGATGCAAAACAGAATAAACATCTTTTATACTCTTGAAATTTGTTCTTCGTTCAAATTGGGGCAAAAATACAAAATATTGTGAGATTATTTCAAATAGTTGTGAAGCTGTGGCATTTTTAGTACACAGTAAAATACGTGGTATCTAAGAGAATGCAAGGGTTAATGGGCTTGGTAGTCAGTGGGTCAGAGAAGAATGACGAATCTTTGACACTAACCTGACTGTGTGACATAGGAGTAAAGCATGATGAAGCACATCTATGCCACCTTTGAGACAGGCTGAGATAGGAGACAATATAACCAGCTCCTCATGTGAACAATCAGTAGAGGTACCTTGGAGTGGCTGCTTCATTGAAGGACTGAGCATGCATGGGAATGCCCAATGTGCAGTGTCGCTGATTGTGATAACATAACTTGAAGCCACAGACTCACCTTAAATTTCTCATAGTGAGCTTCAGTCTGGCAATGGGCCCCTTTGGCAGATTTCTCATTGTTGTAGAACTTGTGGCACAATTTACAGAAGAATCCAGTGACTGGGATTACATAGTTGACACCTGGCATGGGTCATACAGGTGAAGCATGTTAAGTCACCAGCTAGGTTAGCAATTCTCTCTCTTTCTCTCTCTCTCTCTCTTACATACATACACACATTCTGTTTTCTTTTATTGTCCTGTTGTGCCAAGTCACATAGGACTCACAGTCTATTCCTCGATTACGCTTCATCCTGTGCAATCATTTCAATATCATGGATGGAATCCAGTCCAGCAGCTTTGGCCTCTCTCATCAACGTTCGTCCTAGGGTTTCTTTTGGGCGTCCTGGCCTGCTTAATTTTTTTTATTCCCCATTTCAATACCTGTTTGGTGATTTTTAACAGGTTTCTTCTCAGGATTTGTTGTATAACTGTTGATACTAGTGGTTGCCAAGACATTTCTCTTATTACTTCACTCCTTTTGAATTCATATCCCATTTTATTTTCATAATTTTCCTCAGACATTTGTTTTCAAATGCATTTAACTTTCATTCCATATCTTTAATGGTTCTCCAACATTTATTTGAATATGTTACAATTGAAATAACATTAGAACTGAAAATATGTTGCTTGGGTTTTAAAACTATAGTTTAATTCAATTTCCTTTTTTAGTTCAAGCTATTAAAAGCTGCTGATGCCTTGTCGATGCTTGTCATAATTGATTTCTTTGTATTTCCTTGACTATCAAAATTACAGCCTAAATAAGTACATTAATCTGTTACTTTCATTCTTTTTTTGTCTCTAGAGTTACATCTGCTTGACCTGTTGTTGGTGTCTTCACTATATTTGTCTTTTCATGACTTATTTGTAGTCCAACCCTTGCTGTTATTTGTGCTAAATACTTGTTTTTCTGTGCATGTTACTGCTGTTTTTCTGTGCATGTTACTGCTGTTTTTCTGTGCATGTTACTGCTGTTTTTCTGTGCATGTTACTGCTGTTTTTCTGTGCATGTTACTGCTGTTTTTCTGTGCATGTTACTGCTGTTTTTCTGTGCATGTTACTGCTGTTTTTCTGTGCATGTTACTGCTGTTTTTGTTGTGTCTCTAGCAGAACAATATCATCAGCAAAAACAGCATCTTCCAACTGTGTGTTCTCCACCCAGTCAATGCCGGTGTTTCCAGCACAACACTGTTTTTCATGACCAAGTCAAATAACAGAGAAGATTAAATACATCCCTTTCACTCGGGTATCAACTTCAAACCAATCAATTAAACCATCGTATGTTCGCACTGCACACTCTGAACATTCATACATTGATTTCATAAATTTTTTTTTTAAATTGATACACCATAAGCATTCCAAAATTCCCCATAGTTATGTTCTGTGTAAGCTATTATAACCCTTCTTAAAATCAATAAAAGTCAAAATAAGAGGCTGTTATTTTTCAATAAACCCCCCCCCCCCCCCCAAATATGTCTCAGAGTGAATATTTGATATAAGTATCTTCTTAGACAAATTACCTCTCTATAGCAGGCATGAAATCATATAAAGGTGTGTGTGTCTGTTGGCAGCTTTCTATCTCTCCAGATGATGATGTTAAACAATAATAGAGGGAGACATGAAATCATATAAAGGTGTAAGTGTGTGTGTCTCTTGGCACTTCCCATTTCTCCAGATGATAATGTTCCACAATGACAGAGGGAGACATGGCAATCACAACCCGTGGTGATGTCTGGCCAGTGTCACTAGAAAGACCTGCTTTCATTAAGAAAGGTAATCTCACAAGGAACAGAAAAGAAAGAAAGAAATGGGGGATACCGACAATTTGAGTGGAGACAAGCCAGAAGGTAAAAACTGAGACAGAAAAATGAAGCGAGGAAACTAGAGACAAAGAGAAATCAACAGATACATATTACTTTGGCAGAACAACAAAAATATTAAAAGACTGAAAAGCTGAGATCAAGTGAAGGAATGGATACCATGTGCAGTAAAAGCAGCAGACTGGCAGCAACGGAGATAACTTGCAAATGTATTATGTGTCAACAATGACGTGAAGAGGGGACAGACACAGACAGACAGATACAGACTACACTAGCAGAAAAATGTGTCAAAGATTAAAAGTGTGGGATAAACTTGGCAGTGGGCAATGAACAAAAACGTGACCAGGTACTCACCGACAGGGGTTTCAGAGTTGTATTCTGGCACTGTGAGGTCCTCAGTTTCCTTTTCACACAAGGAAAACAAAACAATGTTGTGTTAAAAAGAAGAAAATGCAGCGTTAGCATGAATACATATGAGAACTGTTACAAGAACATTAAACAAGTGGTCACAGGAAAAGTCAGTCCCTAGAGACTATGCAGCTTGCCTCCAACTTTAGGGACAGCTTCTGCTAAGACTCTGTCCAATGTTGGAGGGGCAGTCTCTGCCACATAGACTACATTTTTTTTTAAACTGACACAGAATTTTTACTGAGACTGGTTTTCTCTTAGAAGTCTTCACTCTATTGCTTGCTACATTAGACCAGTGAGACAGTCTGTCATTCCCTATCTGCCTTGATAGGTGCAGGTCTGCAGCCACTAACTCCCAAATGTCTGTGTCAATAGTGAAAATTTCAGGCCCACGTTTGCATATGTCCTTACAGCATAGCTTTGGCCTTTCTGCAGATTGTCCCCAATATTTCCAGATCTCAGAGAACATCAAGCTGTCACAAAATTACACATGGTATAGAAAATGCTACTGCTCACCCTCACAAGCAAGGCAGTCAGTGCTGGATTGAAGTGTAAGCTTAAAACACTATAGATTAGGGCCTCACAATCTACAGGGGCTTCAAAACATAGCAACATTTCTCGCAAATGCAGTTTTCTTTTAATATAAATTTTAAAACAGTCTGCAATTAGCATCAAGTGTACAGAAAGTGTTATTTTACGCAGCATAACTTTTGATGACATAATCGATGTTACATTTAGAAATTCAAGAAAACGTTTGAAGTTGTAACAGAGTCTTTTAGAGCAGGAATGTCAAAATCCCGGCCCACAGCTTGCTTGCGACCCTTTGCAAGTGTACATGTGGCCTGCACAAAGGAAATACACAGCAATAATTTTTATTCAATAAGCCTAATTAGCAATCATGTGTGGCCTTTGAGATAACAACCTTTGACCCATATGGCCCTCAGGGAACCCTCGGTTTGACCTGCCTGTTTTAGAGGATTATTCAAGATTATTTATGTAATTTTTCAAACACATTTTTTATTACTTCTTTTAATAAAAAATTAAACGATGATAGATTTCCATTATCTATACAGCTAAAAGACGCATGTATTTCAAAGTTTTCTAAGATTAACTGGCGTAATTTACAATTGTAAGGGCCTCATGGTTTTGTATAACTTAGGGCCTCACTAAGTCTAAATCTGGCCCTGAGTGTAGCTACTAGTATAAAACTATCCAGCTGTGAACTACATAAACAATTCCTCTTCTTATCCTCCAGTTACTTAATCAGGATCTTCTGTGAGAGCTTCCTAATGTCACAAAAAAAGGTACATAATGTATGAAATTCTGCTGCTCGCTCCTACAAGCAGTGTAGTTATAAGAATAAACTTTCCAGCTACAAACTATCTAACTAATGCTTCTTCTTATCAAGTTTCTTCATTAAAGAATCATTGGGAGATGTAAAGATCTTCTGTGTGCTTTTTCTGATGTCACAAAAATGGTACATGATGTACTCAATTCTACTGCTCCCTCCCACAAACAATGTTGTCACAAGAATAAATCTGCAGCTACGAACTAGTTAAAACTTCTTTTGCTTCTTATTCTCTGGTTACTTCATCAAAGCGTTGGTGGGGGACGTTAAGGATCTTCAGTGTACCCTTGCTAATGCTTTGTAGAAGTTGATCTTTATTTCTCTCTCTCAGTTCTGGGTAGTTCTTAATTCAAAATTGTCTACGGAAAGGATTTACAGCATCCTATTTTTCTTCTTTTGCTTTTCATTTCTCCTGCCAGTGGTTTTCAGTAAAGAAGGTCACAGGCCTCTATGAAGCCTGTGGTCCCACACATTTCATCCACTGTTGCATACAGCTTGGATATCATTGGAATGCCAACCGGTTAAACCTGGGATCTCTCTATAGCATGAGGATTTAGAGCTGCACGGCTTGTGCTGCTGCCACGGACTGTGCAGGTTAGGAATTCCCCCCCCCCCCCTCCCCCAAATGCAGAACCTTACAGAGAATTCGAACATGGGTTTCTCACATGACAGCACAACATTCCTAGCCATTCAATCAGATGCTCCTCCCTTAAAACACGAAAACTACAATTATCAGATGAAGTTTACCTCTTGCTCCCTGCTTCCACTTCTGTCTCGTTTCTTGCCATACAGCTCTGCATTCTAATTTTAAAAAAAAGAAAAGTATTAGCTCACTATTAGCTCAGCATTAGCTCACTATTAGCTCAGCATTAGCTCACTATTAGCTCAGCATTAGCTCACTATTAGCTCACTATTAGCTCAGCATTAGCTCACTATTAGCTCACTATTAGCTCAGCATTAGCTCAGCATTAGCTCACTATTAGCTCAGCATTAGCTCACTATTAGCTCAGCATTAGCTCACTATTAGCTCAGCATTAGCTCAGCATTAGCTCAGCATTAGCTCACTATTAGCTCAGCATTAGCTCACTATTAGCTCAGCATTAGCTCACTATTAGCTCAGCATTAGCTCAGCATTAGCTCACTATTAGCTCAGCATTAGCTCAGCATTAGCTCAGCATTAGCTCACTATTAGCTCAGCATTAGCTCACTATTAGCTCAGCATTAGCTCAGCATTAGCTCAGCATTAGCTCAGCATTAGCTCAGCATTAGCTCAGCATTAGCTCAGCATTAGCTCACTATTAGCTCAGCATTAGCTCAGCATTAGCTCAGCATTAGCTCAGCATTAGCTCAGCATTAGCTCAGCATTAGCTCAGCATTAGCTCACTATTAGCTCAGCATTAGCTCACTATTAGCTCAGCATTAGCTCAGCATTAGCTCACTATTAGCTCAGCATTAGCTCACTATTAGCTCAGCATTAGCTCACTATTAGCTCAGCATTAGCTCAGCATTAGCTCAGCATTAGCTCAGCATTAGCTCAGCATTAGCTCAGCATTAGCTCAGCATTAGCTCAGCATTAGCTCACTATTAGCTCAGCATTAGCTCACTATTAGCTCAGCATTAGCTCAGCATTAGCTCAGCATTAGCTCAGCATTAGCTCAGCATTAGCTCAGCATTAGCTCAGCATTAGCTCACTATTAGCTCAGCATTAGCTCACTATTAGCTCAGCATTAGCTCAGCATTAGCTCACTATTAGCTCAGCATTAGCTCAGCATTAGCTCAGCATTAGCTCACTATTAGCTCAGCATTAGCTCACTATTAGCTCATTAGCTCAGCATTAGCTCAGCATTAGCTCAGCATTAGCTCAGCATTAGCTCAGCATTAGCTCAGCATTAGCTCACTATTAGCTCAGCATTAGCTCAGCATTAGCTCACTATTAGCTCAGCATTAGCTCACTATTAGCTCAGCATTAGCTCAGCATTAGCTCAGCATTAGCTCAGCATTAGCTCAGCATTAGCTCAGCATTAGCTCACTATTAGCTCAGCATTAGCTCAGCATTAGCTCAGCATTAGCTCAGCATTAGCTCAGCATTAGCTCACTATTAGCTCAGCATTAGCTCACTATTAGCTCAGCAATAGCTCAGCATTAGCTCAGCATTAGCTCAGCATTAGCTCAGCATTAGCTCACTATTAACTCAGCATTAGCTCACTATTAGCTCAGCATTAGCTCAGCATTAGCTCAGCATTAGCTCAGCATTAGCTCAGCATTAGCTCAGCATTAGCTCACTATTAGCTCAGCATTAGCTCACTATTAGCTCAGCATTAGCTCACTATTAGCTCAGCATTAGCTCAGCATTAGCTCAGCATTAGCTCAGCATTAGCTCAGCATTAGCTCAGCATTAGCTCAGCATTAGCTCAGCATTAGCTCAGCACTCTGGAATGTTAACAGCCAACTTATAATAACATTAAAAGCTCAGGGGAAAGGTGAGATGGACATACTATAAAACTGTTACTGGCACCATGAAAACCTGAACTCTGCACTAGCTGCTGAAGATGGGGACGGAATGCTTATGAGAATGTTCTGAGTGCTGTGACATCACTTCTTTATTCACCCTCATCCATTTCCATTCAACTTTAACACTAACTTAAAATAACAACTCCCTTCGTTGCATACAACAATATATGGGTTCAAGTGCACAATGTCTACAGCCACACAGCCTGAAAACTGCTTTCAGTGAATTCCTTTCTGTTACTATAATCTAATTCCACCAACTTCCAGGAGATCTGATACAGTGCAAACCCATAAGTATGTTAGTGGAAAGCTCATCCTCACTGCACATCCAAATAAAGTGCTCCTGTGTGCGTACATGTGTCTCTGCATGCATATGTGTGTATCTGAATGTACACATTTACCATCCCTGCCTTTCAGTTTATTTGATACTCAAAGCTGTATACTGTAATATGAAAATAACATGCTAAAGATAAAACACAACTGCAATATGAAAGATGATTGTCTGAAAGGGCCTAACATAAGATGGACCTGTGTGCCCACTTTGTGACCTCTGAAAATAAATAATGTTGATTCACAAGGAGTTTTTTGACTTGCCGTCACTGTCAGAAGTCTTGTCCTCTGAAGTTGTAATGTCTATGACAAGTTTCCATCAGCCTCTTGATTCCCCAGCTAAGAACTGAATCCTGATGTCCTTACATGCCTACTGTTTTGTATTAATTCTTCTTCTGTGTTTGCCCATTAACTCTTTGAATCCCAATAGGCGCATCATATATAGTTGATAGGTTCCTCCTAGAAGCCCAACGAATGCAAGATGCGCCGATATTCCGTCTCTCTTGATCACCCCTTTGGCCTCTGATGCTAAATCCCCTGGGACTCAAAAAGTTAATAGAGCAGTTAGCATATTGTGTTGTGGTTTACAGCCAGGCTGTGATTTCTGCGCTTTTCAACCCAACATATCTGATTTCAACAAACTCCTAACTAGTAATCTTTAATGACATACTTGTTAGGGTTATGAGGGTCTATTCCCCCCCCCCCCCCCCCCCCCCCACACCCCATCCAAAATGGGGGCATAGAACCCCATGAGAATTTCTGTTTTACATAATATTATTACTGAAACTATCATCACCACTATGCATTTTTCCAGAGGGCAAAAGAATGCATGTGTCTCCACAGATCTTAGTCCCCTTCTGTTCTGAGACACACAAACTTGAAAAATTAAAGACTTCCACATCCACCCGGGGTCGGGATATTAAGTGAGCCATAGACAACAGTTTCCAACTGTCAGGAAAAAGTGACTACCCTGCCCAGTTGCAGACTTGCCCATTTATACAAGAAGCATTCAGAAAGTAATGCCTTACATTTCTGTTCTCACAAACTGTCTGTGCAACAGTTTTCAAATTCAGAGACAATAAACTCCTTATGTCCTCCACACACCAGAATGTTCTATAAAATCTCTGTCCACCTCTAATACCCAGTGCCTATGTGAAACAAGGGCATGTATGGCTTGCCTATATCAGATTTTTACCTGTCCCTGCAGTCATTTCTTCAAAGCTTGAATAAGATCCTCAGGTCCATCACTCCACTTTCTGAAGCCTTAACTCTCGTAACCAAGCTACCAACGGTGCTCCTATTCACTGCACAAGTTCTATACACATCACTCAAACATTTACAAATGTTCACCAGTTTCTTTTTCTGTACACATCACTCAAACATTTACAAATGTTCACCAGTTTCTTTTTCTGTACACATCACTCAAACATTTACAAATGTTCACCAGTTTCTTTTTCTGTACACATCACTCAAACATTTACAAATGTTCACCAGTTTCTTTTTCTGTACACATCACTCAAACATTTACAAATGTTCACCAGTTTCTTTTTCTGTACACATCACTCAAACATTTACAAATGTTCACCAGTTTCTTTTTCTGTACACATCACTCAAACATTTACAAATGTTCACCAGTTTCTTTTTCTATACACATCACTCAAACATTTACAAATGTTCACCAGTTTCTTTTTCTGTACACATCACTCAAACATTTACAAATGTTCACCAGTTTCTTTTTCTGTACACATCACTCAAACATTTACAAATGTTCACCTGTTTCTTTTTCTATACACATCACTCAAACATTTACAAATGTTCACCAGTTTCTTTTTCTGCAACATGAAATTTTACAACAATTCGCCATCTGTAGAACATTGTCCTGGCCCAATACTTTAACAAATCGGTGCAGCTGTTCTTCTTCTTGGAATGAGTTGCCATTTGGTAGATGCAATACTGATATTTCAAACCATTTATTTTTATTATTTGCTGAGAAAAAAACTAACATAAAAGACCCAAAGGGTGGAAAACACACAGGTAAAAGTGCTGCATCTTGCGGTCACTGGGCTTCTAGGTGGCTGTGGCTATCTATGAATGTATGATGTGATTCTTGGGATAAAAGAGTTTTTTATAATGGGTAGGAGAAAAAGTTCCGGGAAGTAAATGCGGCCAGGATGACACTGACATCATCCCCACTTCTGGCCAAACATCATCCTTATCACGATCTTGTATTATCATAAGACTTCACATAGAGCTAGCAGTATTTATCGTGTGCAATCTGTTCAATATCATGGGCCCAGCACCTTTGGCCTCCCTCAACATCGTTCGTGTTAGGGTTTCTCTTGGATTTCCCAGTTTATTCAATCCACTTTGTCCCATTTCAGAGTCTGGTCCTCAGCATGTGCCCAATACTGCCATCTTTGTCTAATAACTGTTAAAAGAATACTGAATGTTGAATTAAGAATCAACATCACAGCATTTGGGTCGTTCCCCCCCCCCCCCCCCCCCCCCACTTTTTCCACAAACAAGTCACAGCAACAACAAGAACAGGCCATGAATATCAGCAAAAACAAGGTACCTTCTTGTGTTCCTCGGTCTCACGATGTTGTAGCACCTCAGTAAAGTTGGTGAAATCATGAACATTGCACCAGCCACAGCCCCTCTTGACCTGCAGTTGTCTTTGCTGGCATGATAAATAAGTGTAGAGAAAGAGTTAAAATAACTGGTTTTAGGGATGAAACAGGACCCCCCATCCCCTAATAAACAAAATTTTCATTTCAAAGGGTTAAGAAATGGGCACGCAGGACAGTCTAATATTCTGCCCTTCAAGTCTCACTCCTGGCATACAGTTATTCATTCAGGGCTCAGGCAGGCATGTGCACTTAAAAAGACTTCACCAGGGCTCTTTTCAAGGCAAATGGTGTATTGGGCATGTGAGGTTAGGCTCATATCTTTGTAGACCAAACAGCACTTGATGGCTGATGTGGACAACATCATGATGACCCAGGACTTTACCCGGTTCCCATTTTAAGCTGGGTCAATCCGGGTGCCAAAGTCGGTTTTTTAAAATCTGAGTTCATGAGGATCTGAACCAAAGAACCTATGAACCGGCTGGCGAGTGTTTGGCCACTATGCTACAGCAGCTACCATCACACTGTTGAATGAACCAAACAAACTCTTAAAGAATGCCCCAACTGAGATAATATTAACGTACACAAAGTGGCCTCCTCACCCTGGCTCCAGGTCGACCCAGTCTAAAATATGAACAAGGAAATATCACGGAAAGTAAAAGCAGCAGGCACTTTGTGACTGCATCACCCGTCGGGTGTCAATTAGACCATAAACATGCAGATCTAGCATTTCTGATGTGTCAATGGCCTGAAATCAGGTCCTTTTCTCACTCTGTTAACCTACTTTAAAATACCTTTATTTGCTTCTTTTGTCGTCTCACTGTTATCAGTGTCATAGTTTTCTGTTTTTGGCTTATGCTTCTCAGATGTTTTTGGTGGTGGATTCGACAGGTTTCAGCTACACCATTTATTCATCTCTTTCTTTGTCTTCCCCTGGCCTTTCTCCCTGATGTTCTGCTGTAAAAAATCTCATATACAGTTTGGTCTGGCTGTATTCTAACTAGATGGCCTAACCATTCAATTTTTGGTCTGACATGATCTTATTCCAACTCTCTCCCGAATGCTGGTATTCATAACCCTATCCCTTCTTGTGTTGATAATGACCTGATGGAGACAGCTAGTTATTTTCTGTTCTAGTGTCTTATTTACTGTCCATGTCTGGCACTGATAACATAAAGTAGGAATGAAATTTACAAAAAAAAAAAAAAAAAAAAAACTTTTATTTTGCCTGTATTTGCAACTTTTGGCGCTGTAACAGGGGGTTAAGAGGCTGAGGATAAGGCTGCATGGCTAGTGCAGTTGCCATGAACTGTGCAGGTTAGGTTTTTCATTTCCCCCCAGACAGAACACATCTTCATCCCTTACAAAGGAACATATAGGTTTAGACAACCCAGAGCTCTAACTCCGCAACCAGCCGCTTCTGCTACTTGAGAGTACAAAAAGAAAAGTCAGTGAGGAGACCCACAAACATGTCACCTGCATACCTTATGAATGTTGGAGAACCTGTGTCTCTCCCATGGGATGGTCAAGCTGTTATTGCAAATCTTGCAGAAGTAATCTGGGTCTGCACTGTGAGGAGTATAAAATATTTCTTTCAATTTTCATTTCCCATTTATTAGCACTTTCTGACCTCACACTGAAGCCTTAACTCTCTGAACTCTCCTGCCAACATCTCTCCTAGTGACTGCCCAACTTCCATACCAAAAAAAAAAAAACATTCTTCTGTGTTCACGGTTAAAATGACAGTTGGCATATTGTGCAGTGGTTTAAAGCTAGCCAGTGATATCTGAACCACTTGGCCCAAAACATCAGATTCAAGAAAATCCTTAGTTACTTTTATAACATCCTTATTATAAGGGGCACTTAAACTCACTAAGAAAAAATGATTTAATTTTTACATCTTTCTTTTAATTTTTATTTATTCTCTACTCTTTCTTTTCTAGATAAATTTCTTTTTGATATCTGTAAAATTTTGTGACCTTAGTTTGTAAAGCTACATAAATCCTTTTGGAATATTATTAACAAATCCTGCTAAAAAATACTTAGAACAGTACTGACAAAGACTTTTTGAATACTTGAATCAATTCATTTCAGTAAAATCATAGTTAATGTGTGCAGCTGATAACACAGACTATAACTAGGTTTAGGTTTAGAGATGGATCAACATCATGGCACAAGGGTAGTAACCCATAAGTGCTCCGCTCTACTTCCAACTCAAGCCTTAGTCCGAAGAATCTCAGCGCAGTGCACGAACCCATTAGCATCAGTGAGGATCCTGAAATACTTTGGGCAGATTTTTAATTCCAAATTTTGCCCTGGCAGCACCGTTTGGCTACTCTTTTTAGATTTCCAACTGCCAAGGGATTTTTTTTTATGTACGCAACAATAGACATGGGCATCCGATCTTACTACCCAAAGACCAGGGAAAATTACTAGAAGTCCACGTGAAAAAATCCCAGCCTTCACTGGGCCTGAACCCGGGACCTCCAGAACTCGAGGTAGACGCTATGATTCGAGACCACGCAGCACCCCTATAACAAGATAGAAGCCTAATGTTAGTTTCTTTTTTTATCTGCCTTTTTCTTACTTTTCTTTCATACTATCAACTCTTATTTTCTTTTTAAGTTACTTCTGTGAACAGGAATCGTCAGCATAAACACATCAAGAAATGCTTAGAAGATTTCAGCATCTACAGGTATGCCTGATGTGCAATAAAGATGATCTAACAATGAGCAAAGAGCAAGGAATATTTTTCTTTATCTTTCTTTTTTTTTTTCCTCTTTCTTACTTTTATGCTCTTCAGTTGTCACTGTAAGTAATCTTCTTCATCTTTATTTCCTGTTAATCTTTCTCTTACTTTTCTTTCTTCTTTTCCCCTTGGCGTCCACCACTTTCTTTTCTTCTATGATAATTCATCTTTTTGTCTATATGCGTGTGTTTTTTAAAACTGTTCTTGTCTTTTGCTGCTGTATATGTGCAAGGTGCTCTTGTTCTTTTTTCCTTTGTTTCTGACTCTTTTACTGCTGCTCACACACACAAACACACACCCCCTTCCCCTGTGTGAGCTCTGGAGCCCCATTGTAGGAGTGAAAAAGGAACAGACCCACTGCCTCCCTTACAAGCATGACATAAGAGTCAACTAATTAAGGATCTTTCCTTCAAAGTCAGAGTGCATCTCTCCAAGAGGTGAAGAACCAGCAGTATGCATACAAATACGTCAGATTTGTAAAGAGGATGTCCAGAAGTGGGTGAACAACCAGAACTTTCCACTGGAGTTTACAGCCAGTGAATGTGAAACAAACAAACAAACGCACACACGCACGCGCGTGGAGATTCTGACAAGATAAGTAATCTACACAATCTAACATATCCATCAATACACAAGATAACTCACCCATTCTTGCCCTCAATTTTACGAAGATGTTCCTCGGCCTGAAGCCGAGACTTCAACTGATTGCTCTTGAGCTGGTGTACAGTGAGCAGACTATTCATGCGCTGAGCATGTTTGTTGCCGTTGAGATGTCGACGGAAACTGTCTTCATCATAGACGGAAACATTGCAGACGTGACAGTATAAACTGCCTTCCTTTTCCTTGTCTTTATCCTTCTCCTTTTTATCCTAAGGACAAGTTACAACAACAAAAATGTTACAGCACTGAATTATTTTATCTTCTTTTCTTTTCTCTACTCCTGGAGTGCCTCGCGGCATCATTTTTTAAAATTCATACTCGATGAAGTTTCATCCAATGTAATCAAGCAGAAAAGGATCTATTTTTTACGTCAGAAGGAAGTATGGGTAAAAAAAAAAAAAAAGAATTGTTAAATGAACCAAACCACTAAACAAACTCTTCAAGAATGCACAAACTAAGACAACATTAAGGTGCACTTATTAGCATCTTCACCATGGCTTCAGGTCAATCAATCACTGACCATACTGGAGAGGAAGGTTGAGGGCAAGAGGTAGACAACATCAGTCTGAGAGAGTGTACAACCAAGACAGGAGAGAGAGCATGTTTGAGATCCACTACAGACAGCCTTCAGTGTGGAGATGGCCAAATAAAAACCAAGTAGTGGGACAACTAATATTGTCTTTGTGTTTGATGTCACACGTGTTGACCATTAGGCATATTGGAAAGCATGATTAAAGACGTCTTCACACATGCCTACAAGATTTATTACTTTAAAAGCCTCATATTAAAATAAAACACAAATTTATCAGATTTATCTGAAGCTAGACAATGGAAGTTATGAAGTATACTTGTTTCAGTCATTGATAGAGCCAAACTTTGATGAGGGATAGCTCTGATATATGCCTCACGCAAAGCCTGCAATAACATAACAAAGTCAGCTGGTACAAAGAGAATAAATGTTAGTGACAAAAACAATATTCTTTAGTGTCAGCTAGATCTAGTGTGATTCCCTTATTATTTGGGAACATAGGCTATATAATTATTGGCAAATTTAGTGTTATATAAAGTTCGTTTTTTTTTCAAAAATACTAATTGTTTTCATAGGTCATTTTTTTCTTTACCCAAAAAATGGGGCTCAGTTATGATGTTCTGAAAGTTTCTCTGGAACGAGATCTAATGGACCTATCATATTAATATTTTATTTATACATTACTAAGTGGTTTATGTCCATTTGTGATTTATTTTGGTTATATTTTATCAAACTTTCCTTGAATGCCATGGTGGTTAGTAGAAAAATTACTATTTCTTTGTTACTCATTTCTCAAAAACATACAGTATGTTTATTTATTAATAATTAACTACAAACACAATTTATTTATGTAGCAGTAATATGACATTATTCCTCAACAAATCCTGGTCACAGTTATGTACAATATGTGTATGGTTGGCGGCAGTTGAATTTATATGGTCTGTTTTAATGTGTAACACTTGTGACATTTCAAAATTGTATTACCACCCCTTGAGCCTCTGATGCTAAACCCCCTGGGACCCAAAGAGTTAAGGGAAGCAATCTGAATGTTAAGGGAGCAATTTGAAAATAGACTTGTCCAGAGTTTTAGGCTTACTTATAAGAGGCATAAGAATTTGAGAAAAGCTCAGATGGGACACGGCATATAAAAGGGTTGGGAAACATGGACTCAGACAAAGCTTGTGCGTATGCTCGTTAAGTCTGTTATGCCCTGTCCTGAGACAGAGAATGATCTATCCATACCAGTCAAGTAAGTGGTAGTCACCATTTGTCTGATTCTGTTCACGCCTGATAGACTGAATGGCTTACCCCCTTCCCTCCCCCGCCTAAAATACGTAATTGTTATAACACAACATACCTCCTCTTCTGTAGGACCGGATGGCTCGGAATCATCTTTGCTCTTTTCTATGTGATTTTTGCTCAGATCTTTGTCTGAAAACAAATTCAATAATCCTTTTGCAACTGCCATAACAAAACCAAATTAGACTTATATACAAATTGTACCAGATGAAAGCTCAACAATTTAAGGCTATCCTCCAAATAACGGTCCTAAATTATCGAGCCAGAAAATATACCCTATCAGGGCCTCAGTCACGTGTCAATTGCGCACTTCTGTCGTGTTAAATTGCGTGCTTACGGCGACTTCCGCCACCTCCGAGAGTATCGCCCATGCCGCTCACACGGCGTGGATTGGGGCTAAACTAGATGGCTGGGACTCACAAGCAGCAGCTACCGAATCTCCTGCAGCTTCCTTCATTTTATTTGCTCGTGAGTCCTAGCCATCTATTTGCCGGAAGTTCGCAATTCGGCGGTAGCGTTATAGTCCCCGGAAATGCGCAACTGACACGTGACTGAGGCCCTGTTAGGGTATATTTTCCGGCTCGAAAATTTAGGACCGTTATTCGGAGGATAGCCCAATTTAAAAACCACCTACTTTTTCATAAATGTTAAAAATTATCTTCAGTTTTCAGTGTATCTTCTAACTTAAAATAAACCAAATTAGCTAAATCTAGAAACATGATGAGAAGCCTAAATATGAAAAGGAATAAGATAAAAAGATGATAGTCTTGAAAAATTGCATTATCAGTAAGAGAAAAACCTGTGTCTTGGAGGTAATGCAATCTTCAATGTCTAACAGGTTTTGATTCTAGCGGTGGGCGGTTCAGAAAAGTACAGCTCTCGTGGCTTTTAGACAGAGGTATGAGAGTCTGACTGAGGAAGAGACTGGGGCCCCACCAATCGATATTCTCATAGTTAATACTGGATACATTGCAGAAATCCTTCCCTGTGGAGACAGCACGACTGTTTAATGAGAAAAACTGGAATGACGATACAACCTTTTCAAGATTTGAATAATGAGAACACAAACAATACTTTACATAATTTATTGCCAGGCATATTTCGCTGTACCTAATCAAGTGCGTTACTACAGAGTTAACTCTTCCAGGCCGATGCTTACGCTACTGTGGTAATTTTCTAACTTGCCATTATACCACTGTCCCGATTTTTGGGCAATTTGTTTACTGTGTGATAAAACGCGTCACAAACTAAAAATAACCAACGAATTGTGATCAAACCACATGGTTAGTCACTGCGAATGGTTGCCCACAAGTGTTTGGATTTACTTTGTGTCGTTTTAACGCGAAAGAAATTCAGAAAATTCACAATGAAATGAGCAGCTGATGAATCAAGCACTTCAACAGAAAAGTGAAGTAGGTCTAGGCTTTTCACAGTCCAACAGGTGATCGATACTTTGGTTGATTCAGACTCTGCGGGGTCATCATTTCATGAAGAATATGTTCTCAGTTGAAGTAACACAGTCAGTGAGAGCTCGAATGATGAGAATCTTGAAAATTATACATCTAGAAATAGATCAATAGAGAAGGGGTGTGTCCCTCAAACAGCAACATCTGGTGCTCACTTTGGGAAACAAGGCTCATCCTGCTGGGTGGACTGGCACACACAGATGGAATATTGGGGCTAGATAAAAGGTAAACCTATTTTCTACAATGTCTCCAAGTTTCATCTTATCCTAACCACTTGTTTGCATGTAATATTTTTTTTATATCATGTTGATTTTTTTGCCTTAATGCCCAGGAGCTCAGGTATAGGGGGCAGTTAGGTTCAGGGCCTCAAGTCTGGTAGGTTTAAATCAACATGCAATGAAGCACAAAATGAATCCTTTTCTTGCTGAAATGCATAAACCACATTGTCGAGTTGCTGTACAGGTAGGTAGTCATGCATCTGACGAGAGTCAGCAAAATATGCCAGGCAATACATTTTGCAAAGTATTGTTTGTGTCCGCAACATTTAAATTAATGGGAAAACACTGTTTTGAACTTCCAAGACTGACAACACCATTAACGTGACAATATTTTCAGTCTGAAAGAAAACTGGGGAAGATGGTAGAGGGAAAGAGAAAAAAAAAGGAAAAGACAAGGTGGGCAAGAAAGCAGGCAAATGGCTAACAGTCCTGGCAATAATAAGAAATTCACATCAGCTCCGAGGAATCAGCTGAAAGAGTTTACCTGCATCCCGACTAGAACCTTTTAGATCTCTGCCCTCACTACTCCTGTTGCTGTCACGACCTCGAGACCTGTCTCGATCACCACCTCGCTGGAAATCCAAGAGAGAAGAAGAAGCAACAACAGTGAGCCATCAAGCTCAACAGCATGGATAAGCAAGAACATGTCAATTAGTCTTAAACAATACACAGGCTCTCCCACCAGTTTCCATACACAGAAAACATTAACGTATCACTTTCTTCTTCATCTGTTCTCTACTCTTGGAATGCCTTGTAGCATCAGAGCAGGAAGAGATCTCTGCAACGGGCTCTTCTGTTCGCTTCACATAAAGTACTTTTCAGTGTCTCTGATATTTCTGCAGTCCATATTCTGTGTGGTTGACCTCTGGCTCTGTTACTGCTGTATCTGTACAACACTGCTCTTAAAATATTTAATTTCGGGGGCTGTCATATGCACGGAAGCGTCTTTCTGAGGAGTGGCTGGTCACTCCCAAAAGCATTGCATAAACCGTAACTCCAGTTGCTTGTTAACATTCACCAGCTGTAAACTCTGGCTAAAAATCTAGGTTGTTTGTCTCTTTCTGGACTCTGGCTTTATTTTGCACACCTGTCGGTTTTTAAGATCTGGCTTTTTTGTATGCAGACTGTTAGTTCCTTGCATATCAGGCAGATGTGCTACTACTCTGAAGAAAACACCCCTAATTATCGCCCTTTGCTACATGCTTATTGGAAAAGAAGTATCGGGGGGGGGGGGGGGGGGGGAAGAGAGAGGCTATTATGTTTTCACCCCAACATAGGATCCTTGAACACACAGGAACACAAAGCTTCAGTAAAGTCAGCCAGGTATGTCCAACACCTGCACTTACAAACTAAAGGACAGTTCCAAACAGAACCTGCAGCCTTTCAAACACAAGGCCAAACGTGTAACCAATTTGTCATGGAGACTCCTGTATTTTCTTTTCTTTTTAATTACACAAAATCCCTCCTAAATTGTTTCAGGGGATTAAACCTTATTATTCTGCATCACTCCAGTCTATTGATCTTTTCTGACCAGTTTTATAGATTCAGGTTATCAGCTGTGTTGCTGCCATGAACCAGTACATCAGCAGCAAGTCTCCTTGGGTTCCTCTATACCTGTCCTGGACGCTATGTTTTCTTTTCAAGGTTTTCCTGAAGGAGGCAGTTCTGCACAATGTGCTCAGGTGTTGGGAGAGTGGTTTGATAGGGACACTGGCCAGATTATGCAGCCTTCATTCTGTGCGCGTGTCCATTAAGTCCCTGTTCTTAGTCACCTTTTAACCCAACATATCTGAGTTCAGCAAATCTCTAATTTGTCCCGTTTTATGACACACCTGTTGGGGGCAGTGGGCCTACCCCCCCCCCCCCTTTTCCCTAAACACATATAGGAAGCTAGGTAGTTTCAGCTCTCATTCACAAAAACTAGAGGACCTTTTCAACATCTTCAGGAGTATTGGGCATTTAGGGCTAGTCCTATATTTTACAGGCCAATCAGCACTGGGTGGGTGATGTGCTCAGCATCATGCTGGCCACCTTTACTTCCCATCATGGTAACCACTCAAGGCTAGGTCGACCTGGGAGATCATTTTTTGACAAAACAAAGTACGGCTCATTTTGGACCTGAACCCATGACCTTCTGACCTGCAGGCAGGCATCTAGCCACTACACCATTGTGGCTTTCCATCTTCAGAGAAGCAAAATGAACTCATGACCTTCTGACCTGCAGGCAGGCGTCTAGCCACTACACCATTGTGGCTTTCCATCTTCAGAGAAGCAAAATGAACTCATGACCTTTGGACCCGCAGGCAGGCGTCTAGCCACTACACCATTGTGGCTTTCCATCTTCAGAGAAGCAGAATGAACTCATGACCTTTGGACTCGCAGGCAGGCGTCTAGCCACTACACCATTGTGGCTTTCCATCTTCAGAGAAGCAAAATGAACTCATGACCTTTGGACCCGCAGGCAGGCGTCTAGCCACTACATCATTGTGGCTTTCCATCTTCAGAGAAGCAAAATGAACTCATGACCTTTGGACCCGCAGGCAAGCATCTAGCCACTGCATCACGGTGGCTCTCCATCCAGAGAAAAAAATCCAGCAAAGAACCCTTCTCTCACCATCGTATATAAGGGCAAACAGTGCTAGACCCAATTTTATATAGACCTATCAGCACTCAGTGGCTGATGAGGTTAACATCCTGCCAGCCCCCTTTACTTCCCAGGACATTTCCGGATACCCATTTTAGGTTGGGTCTGCATAGCAGCTAGAAGCTATGCCTGCCATCCTACGGTTTTGGGGGTCAAATCCACACCAAGTCTGAATTTGTTATTTTACCTAAAAAAAAAAATTGACTTTGTCAAAGGTCTTAGATTTAAATCAGCACTGTGTTTAATTTTTTTTTTTTTTTTTAAACAATGATCTTGGCTACCAGGTCCATTCCTCCTAAACCGGGGACCAGGTAAAGCCCTGGGAAGTAAAGGTGGCTGACGTGATGCTGACCACATCACTCATCCTGCCTCGGCTGGTCTGTAAATTTAGAATCATATGTCTAATGCGCCACTGGCGTGACCAAGCTTTTTACATCGTTTTTGGTTTTGTTTAACACTAGGAACCCTGGTCAATTAGAAAACATCTGCTCCAATGCTGATTCTTCTTCTTCTTCTTCGCGTTCACCAGCTGTAAACTCCAGCAGAAAGTTCTGGTTGTTCGTCCACTTCTAGACTACAGTCCTGTTCCAGAACCTGAGTGTTGCGTGTGCATCCATTTTACAGATCTGACTCATTTGTATGCAGACTGCTGGTTCCTTGCCTCGCAAGCAGATGCACTCTGACTTCGAAGCTCCCAATTAGTCGACTCTTACGACATGCTTTTGGGTAGGCCGTGGGTCTATTCTTTTTTCCCTATAATGGGGCCCCGGAATCCACATAGGTACAATGCTGATTCAAAAACAAGACCTTTGGGCGGACAGGCAAGTGTCAAGCAACTGGCCTACCGCATTTCTGCCTCCCTTCAAAAACCCACATCCCAGCCCTGTGTTACCTACCCTTTTGCGATCGTTCCTCATGCTTCCTGAGTTGCCGTAGCCCATTCCTTGCTGCTGCAAATAGTGCATGTTGCCTAGAGATCCCATCCCCCCAAAACCTCCCAGTCCATAGTCGCCTCCCCCGCCACCGAAACCACCAAGGGTGGCCTGCTGATGCAGAAGCTGTTGAGCAAGAATGAGCTGGTTCACTTGAGGGCTGACCATGGGCTCAAATAAGCCTCCACCCATGCAAGGTCCCTCGCCCAGAAGTCCGTCTCCTCCACCTGGAAAAATCATCAATCATGTTAACACCTAAAAAAAAATCATAAATTATGTTAACACGTAAAAAATTCATCAATCATGTTAACACCTAGAAAAATCATCAATCATGTTAACACCTGGAAAAATCATCAATCATGTAAACAACTAGAAAAATCATCAACCATGTTAACATGTAAAAAAAAATCATCAATCATGTGAACACCTAGAAAAATCATCAATCATGTGAACACCTAGAAAAATCATCAATCATGTTAACACCCCAAAAAATCATCAATCATGTTGACGCATTCTCTCAACATTCGTTTTAGGGTTTCTTGTTGATGCCCTCACTTGTTCAATCCTAAGTTTCAGCCTGGCTGGGATCCAAGAATCTGAAGATCTACAGACTGTTCACAGCCTGACTAAGATCAATCTGAGATGTATCTACAGACTTGGTCTCAAGAATCTTAAACCTATTTACATACTGATTTCTGTGTCTGGCTTAGATTCAAGGATCCACAGGCTTGACTTAAAGAACTCTACCATAGCCTCATTCCAGCAGACTAAGTCCCTTTTAAGGGCTCAATTAACCTGAAGATCAGTGCATCAAACTTGGGAGCTAGACTCCCTATTCTAGAAGATTCACCGATTGACCAACACCAAAACAACACTTACCAAAACCACGTCTGTCACGCCCACCTCCAAGTCTATTTCTGTTCATCATTAATGGCACTGAAAGAAATTTGAACAAAAATTTTTTTTATTTATATGAGTTAAAAAAGAAAGAGATTTATAGTAAGTTTTATGCCCCGAAAATGCATCTTCTTCCATACTTAAGTCTTGTTCCAAAACTGAGTTTTGCATGCACATCCATTTTTCAGATCTGGCTTTTTTGTATGCAGACTGTTAGTTCATCTCTTCTCAGGCAGACACACTCTGACTTCAGGGGAAACACCCCTATTTAGTCACCTAATTAGATATGCTTCGGGGGGAGGGGGGTGTTCTATAGGTCCCCCACTCCCATTGGGTCCTAAACCCGCAGTGGAAAATGGGTATTTGTGATTTCATTTTATTGCACTGTGCAACATCAGTACTGAAATAGCATGAAAGTACCTAAGAAACAGTATAGTATCCTGCCTACTTTTGACAGAAGAATTCCCCATGCACCGCTTCTAAAACAAAAAAACAATCACTGTAAAAAAGTAGGGTGATAATGCATACTTGGTAATAATGCTATACCTCATTTTATCAACACCGTGAAATATTCTCTTTTGCAAAACTGGAGTTTTTCACCAAAATATCTGACAGAGCATCCTGCCTTTTTCTACTAGCATTTCCACAATGAGAAAAGGGAGCACTGGAAAATATTGTGACAACTGGAAAGATCACTGGTAGAAGAGGCAGAGGCAGACCAAAGAAAATGATGTTGGGTGTGATAAGATGTGACAAGGCATGGAGAAATAGCATCAGTGAAATTGAGCTAGATACCAAAGATCAAGATATGTGGAGATGAATGCGTTCACCAGCTGGCAAGGCATTTGATGATGATGATTTCCACAACATATCATATAATGCTTCTTTAACAAACAAAAATTCCTTCAAAGTAAAAGGCAATAAAGACCTTTCAACTATCCTCCGAAAAATGGTCCTGCGGCGCAGAGGGGGGCTAAACTAGATGGCTGGGATTCACAAGCAAATAAAATGGAGGAAGCTGCAGAAGATGTGATTGCTGCTGCTTGTGAGTCCCAGCCATCTAGTTTAGCTCCTCTCCACACCATGCATAGTGGCGGGGGGGGGGGGGGGGGGAAACTCTCGGTGGTGACTTTAACTTAGCGGAAACTTTTCCGTGGTATGCGGTGTAGTCGCCGGAAAGAGGTCTGCAATTTACATATGACTGAGGCCCTGTTAGGGTATTTTCTTAGCCTCGATAATTTGGGACTGTTATTCGGAGTGTAGCCGACCTTTCTTTGTCAAAATGCTTCATAAACAGCGTCTTGTTTTTAAAGGCAACAATAGACACCTAGCTATGATTTGTCATACATCTTATTCCAAAAGCAAAATGCATCCAGTTCTTTTCTGCAAACCTAGAGAGAGAAAAAAAACACCACATTCAGACTATTTCTGTAATTTCCACCAGTTTCCACAAGGCCTTGTGCACCACCTCTCAAATACCTCTCATTCTGACAATATACACCTAGGCTTTGCCATATCATTTTATACCCAAAATATATCCAATTCTTTTCTGCAAACCCAGAGTTAGAGAAACGAGAAAATATCCAATGGACACACAGCATTCTGCCTTCAACTGTAATTTCTCTAGTTTCCACAAGGCCCCGTGTACCGCCTCTCAAACCCGGAGATAATCACTATTTATGGAAGACTTTTATAGTATTTGTACACTTCTTATTATCAAATGGATGCCACATCTTTTTCTTTCCCCAAACCTAGAGAAACAATTAACGTAACGTAGCTAGCAGACACAGCATCCAACGCCCCATGAACTAGTAACTACGCTGAACCGCTTCTGGTTTTTAGCGGCGACAAGTCACATATCCATTATAATATATCACTTTACCAGCAAAATGCACTCAATTATTTTCTGCAAACAAGAGAAACAGTAAACTACCTAACAGACACAGCATGCTGATAATTTTTACAGTAGTTTGCACAAATCGCCGTGACCGCTTCTAAAACAGAGACCATGTAAGACCAGACAGGCAGGAAGTCGACCGGTCAGACACTACAGACTCACAACACACACAAGCAGTTCAACCACTACGCAGATTTTCCCCCTACAACGCTACCCCCGTCATAACAATCCCCAAGAGCTGCATTTTGCTTAATGGTACAATACGACATGTTTGAAAATGGAAACTCACCTAAACAGAAAGCAAAAAAGAAGATATGGATTGTTCTAGCAGACAAGAAGAATCTAACGGTTCTTTATGAGAACGTGTGGTCTTGGAACTGCGCATGCGCTGATCCTTGCAAAAATTAACGGTGCTTCTGGTAAAAATACAATGCTCGTCTTTTTTTGTTAATGGAACAAATATTATCACACCAAAAAAATTCTTTAATTACGTATAAGTTTTAAATTATTATTATGAGAATATGCGATATGTTTTGATCAGCATTCAGTCAGGAGATAAAGAAAGTACTTAAAAATGCAGTCATAAGCGCCTAGGCAGGATTCGAACCACATCTATCACAAGAATAGAAATACGCGTTCTTCGACGCACGGCCAAACATATAGTACTGTTTAATGTCCTGAACTACTATACTTTAGAGATTTACATTAATATAACATTACAAGCTTCCAGAATAGAGGTAGAAAACTTTGAGAAGGGACTGACTTAGTGGCAAAGCAATATGAACAATCATTATAAAATTATTTAAAATGTATGAAGAAAGATTGCTCTATAACTTACTGTATAGGTAGTAGGGAAACTTTTAGTCATACAATTCATTACAGAACAACAAACGAGATTGTTTGGCCACCTGGCGAGAATGTCCTGGTACCAACTGCCACAGAAAGCCACGCTGAAGAAATATAATGAACACAAACCAAGGGGAAGACCACGCAAGACATGGAGCGACATTATCAATAGCAATCTATCAGAAATGAACACCAGCTTGTACAATGCATTAGAAGAAGCTCACAAACGATCCTTACATTCCCCCCCCCCCCCCGCCCCACAATGCTGGAAGAAGAAGAAGAAGAAGAAGAAGAAGAAGAAGAAGAAGAAGAAGAAGAAGAAGAAGAAGAAGAAGAAGAAGAAGAAGAAGAAGAAGAACAACAACAACAACAACAACAACAACAACAACAACAACAACAACAAAAGAAGAAGAACAAAAAGAACAAGAAGAAGAACAAGAAAAAGAAGAAAAAGAATATGAACAAGATCAAGAACAAGATGATGATGAGGAACGTTTTAGAATCCGCTGCATCGGGAGACTGAGCGCTTAGGGGAACGTACAATGTCTAAATTGTGTTAATTTAATACAACATTACTGTATAGAGAAAATGCATACATTTGTTTAAACAAGCACTAAGTAATGAAGACAGCGTTTATGATAAATAGTGTGTAAATTTAGTCAAAATGAATGTGTTTGCGGTATTCTCCTACCCAATGAGAGTTGCTGGGAAGGGGCTGGTATGCACTATACACACACGCATACATAGACATACATATACAGTTGCATATATATATATATATATATATATATATATATATATATATATATATATATATATATATATATAATGTTGGCAGGCCCAAGTGTGAATGGACATATATGTGTATACATACACTCAATGCACATATACATAGATGCGTGTGCGTCCACTTGGGAATGCATGTATACGTGTTTGCATACATACACGTGTATATGTAGATACACTAAAGGCAGCCGCAGTGGCCAGAGCCTCACTTATGGATTAGAAGCTCAACGAAGCCGAGTTTTAAAAAAAATTTGACCCTGGTTTTTTTTTATGTCGATTCAACCTTAAACTGGCACTAGTGTTGTATATTATGTAACCTACAGTTTTTCCATTTCTTATTATTTGCGCCTCGGTTACAATTTTTTTTCAACCAGGTGTTTTCAATCGTATCATTTACTTTTCCCATTCTGTTATTATTTCTCCTAAGCCTCAATCATCAACCACGTCTTGCATTCGTTCGTTTCCTACCGTTGTCTTGAAATCTCTAGTTATTATTTTAATTTCTCCTAAACAGATTTGCAGTAATGCTCTTTCGACATCATCATCAAATCTTCGTAGGTCTTCTTCATTGCTGTCTGTCGTTGGTGCATACATTTGTATGATACTCAGTTTATAGGAACAAAAGCGCGTACAAAAAAACAAAACAATATTATATCTGCAGTGTAGTCAGCATTACACATTAAAAGTTCTACAGTTTCGTAAAGTTTAGTAAAGTAAAGATAGATTTTCATGCCTTCGAGGCATATTGGGCATATGGAAAGGGCACCCATATTTTTACAGACCAATCGGCCATAGGTAGTTAATGTGGTTAGCATTATGCCGGCCGTCTTTACTTCCCTAGGACATACATCCTGGTACCCATTTTACGCTGGGTCGACCTGCGACCCCCCCCCCTCCCCCATACCTTGATAAAAATCCACCCAGCCAGCAGTGGGTTTTGATCACGGTATGTTGGAATGAATGTATTGTTTTGTCAAATATTTTATGCAGTATTATCAGAATGTTATTTGTGTGTGTGTGTGATACAGGTACAATTATTAAACCTGCCTTCACACAGATTTACAAGTGAAGCTGGATTCACAGGCTTTTCCTGCACCAAACTAACAACACTTCAACTTTTCACGTGTCCAAGTAATGCAATAGCACTATGCATATTCAGCAAAGCAAAGCTGAAATATATGTGCATTTTGGCCACACATCTGACTTCACTGAGGTGAGGTGCATCATAGTGCACTCTGGAGATTTGTCCCTATATTTTTACCAATGTTTCTTCTTTTTGATAAACTCATTGGCTCATCTGGTAGTGACGCAAAGTCACATTTGTGATGCATACTTACTGCATTACAGTGTGGATTGGGGGCGTTGCACTAATATTTTCAAAGTTGCTTTATCTCCTCTGCTATAAACACATCAGCATTCACTTGATTTCTAATGCTGAATCACATTATACTGGCTTTGTTGTAAGCACATCTGTGCTCATCAAGGATAACATCTGTGAATTT